TTTTTAGATTATGGTTTATGGCTTATTGTTAATAGTTTAAAGATTAAGTCTAAGGGTTAGCGCTTTGATTTTATCGATTCTGTCTCATCTACCTTAAGCCTTAAGTCTTAAGCCACAATCCAAAATTCATAAGTCTTAAGCCATAAGTTATAATCCTTAAGCCCTAAACCATAAGTCGTAAACCTTAACCAACAATCTCTAACACCCACCAACCAACCCAACCCACTATAAGGCATAGGGCTTAGTGTTTGGTGTATGCTTAGTGCTTAGGGTTTCATACGTAGTGCTTATGGATTATGGCTTATGTGGTAGTCTTAAGGCTTGGGTCTTATAAAATACATACACATATACATATATGCATATACATACACATACATACTCAAATACATAAAATCTAATTCATACCCCATAAACCCTAAGCCTTACACCATATGGCATAATCCCTAAGCATTAAGCCATGAGCCATAAGGTCTAAAACCTAAGTCATAAGTCATAAGACTTAAGCCATACACCTTAATCCTTAAGCAATATTCCTTACGCCATAAGCCTTAATCCCTAAGTCGTAAGCCATAATCCAAAGCCCTAAGACTAAGTCCGACAACCTAATCCGAAAGCCATAAGTATTCATCTATAAGCGATACGCCATAAGCCATAAGCTATAAGCCCAAAGCCCAAATCTTTAAGCCTTAATTCACAAGCCCTATTCCATAAGCCCTAAATATTAAGCCCTAAGCCATAAGACTTAAGCATTAAACCATATTAGTTAAATATGTTCCATATCACATATATTGATAAAAATATACAACTTAGTTACTATTGTGGACAAAAATAAAATATGTTACTAATGTGGATATAAACACATAAATATGTTGGTATTTGATGCAATATATTATTTAATTAATATATATTGATTTCTTTTAGTATTTATATTTTTAAAGAAAATTACATGATTGGGTCATGTGATTTGTCATAACTCACACGGTGATGAAAACTATCAAAATATCATGTGCTTATCCATATGTTGTTAGTTTTCTGTATTGTTGATGTAACGACCCGAAAATCCTTCCTTTAACGACGTTAATGCTCCATTACAAGGTTATTGAGCGACATAAATTTATTTCGTTGCTAAGAGGATAAAACAAAATAAATGAAGTAAAAAGGGTGTCAATTAATACCTAAAGAGCTAATTGAGTATATTGTTTAATTAAATTGATGTGAAGGAATATAGAGCAAATATAGTCTGTTTAAAAGTTGTATAATTTAATTAAACAATTCTTTTGTTTTTTGGAAGAAATAGGATAATATATTGAATTAAAAAGTATAAATATAAAGGTGGAATGAAAATGTCATTAAAACAAATTTACAATGTCAAGTTATTAGGGTTAGGAATGTTTGGAGCTTAACAATGGAAGTCTAGGGACAACTAGAAAAAGCGTTAAAACTCCCATAGAATGTTGATCGATTCTTGTCCCTACTGTTCCTTGTAGTCAAACCTTGTGTGTATAAAGAAAAAAAACACGAGACATGTTCAATTGGGTTCTAGGGGCTGATCGTTGTTGGGTCGTCGATCAAGAAGCGATCGAAAAAAAACAAACTCGAAGGAAAAGGAGGTAAGGCTTTGTTGATCTTAAGTTGTGTGTGTGTGTGTGTGTGTGTGTGAGAGAGAGAGAGAGAGAGAGAGAGAGAGAGAGAGATGTGAGGCTGAAGTGACGATTTTGGTGGGTTCATCAATTGACGCTCAGTTCACACCATCTTTCGTACGCCAAACTACCATATGTGAAATTCCCTCTCCGTTATTCATCAATTAACGCTTAAATCTCTTCCATAGAAATCAAAATCATGTATAGTTCTAAATTCCTCCTCTAATCAATTTCTTAGGACTCTCCTCTCATATTTCACACATCTTGGTAAACTACCACAGTTTACCACAGTTCCCTCTACTGGTGTTGTGTTCATAAAGCCTTAGATGAACTAGTTTATTTACCATTCTATTGTATTCGAAAATGGAATTGGTGCAATTTCATCTAGTTTAGAAGATATACCTTGAATTCATATAAGGCTAATCGCCAAAACTTTTAATCTTTCGAGAATAGTACTAGTGTAGTGCCAGCATGAATGCATTTTAGGTGTTTGATGAAATGTTTGTGAATCTTGCATATGTATTTTTTTCAATTTGAGGCTAACAAATTTTTTTCTCTATGATTACACATTGATCCCCTTTATCAAACTAACTTTTTTACCCAATGGCTTTTAGTGTTTGCCACTTATTTGAGTTGGTTAAGGATGATTTTTCTCTTTAATCAATGTGGTTCCCCAAAGGTGGTTTTTGATGGAGATAAAATCACCAAAACTATTGAGCTACTTGAGCGATGGATAATGTTGAAGTTGCTTTTATAAGAGTTTTGGACTTGTTAATTGATATAAACATAAGAGATATTGAGATGACTTCAACTTGAATGTGATTCAACACTAAATTTTTGAAAGCAATTTTAGCTTCTTAGGTGTTTATATAGTATTTAAGTACAAACTATCAGTGAAGTTAATTTATACATTTATATATTATTTAATATAATTGTGAGATGGATATTTGCAAATAGCAGCAATGCACTTCCAATTTCCTACTCATAATAACAACATACTTAAATTTATCTATTGACTATATCAATGTGAAACATTACATTATATTGCCTATATTGGTAGCAAAAAAGGTAATTGCATTGTGGTATGCATAATAGAATATAATTAGGGGATGTCACACCATGCACAAAGCCATCCCCACCAGAACTACCCCCAAGCTTCAAGTTCGTCTTTTCTAATCACCTGGACTAAGTTTTGAACGACATATAACGACATCCTTATTAAAACCTAGAAATATATTTTCCTGCTATAACAAAACCCTTAAACTGACTTCCTAATTAAGGTTCAAATTAACACACAATAATGGTAACACGCACTTATAGAAATCGAGCCCAAATTAAGTAAAATACCGATCAATTACCATGGAACCCAAATTAACGTTCTAAAAATCAATTTTGACCACATTGATGGAAATGATGATAACTGTCGAAGTTTCGATTTATCATATTCTCATCTCTAGATATTAGTTCCTACTTCAACCTCCTCATCTTAAAGGCAATCTAATTTTAGTTCTGTTTTTTGACAACAAGGAGGTGATGCATGTCTTTGGAAAAAAAAAAAACGAAGGCCTCTAAATTAGAGACGACATGTTTAATTTCTAACCACTACCACCATTAACTTCCCTTAAATTTGTCATAAACTTCCCACCTTTATTCAATCTGAATGTAGATCAGCCAATACGATATCAACGTCGACGAAGTTAGGAATGAGTTTGAATCGGCAGCCAAGGTCATCTTGTATGCTGATATTGTTTCTTGAACATGGATCAAAAACCTAGAAATTGTGTTAACCAAATACCCATAGATGGTGCACATGTGTTCATCATGTTCTTGATTCCAAACCCAAATGAGTGGTGATAGGAGGGGTTCGGATGGTGTTCGTGTTCATCCACTCTTTTCCATGGCATAGTTTGGTTTAAGGTTTTATGTGGGAGATATGAGATGTAGAAATTGTGGGGGTGGGTGGAGATTTTATTTTGTATTTTTAAAATTATTAAATATATAATAAATGTTAAAGAAAATGTTTAAATTAAATGATAAGGGTAAAAAAGTCTTTTACTTTTAACATGGATCAAAATCGAGAATGAAACCCGTTAAAATGATGAAATTTATAATTTTGAAACAATATAACAATGAAACCCATTAAAATTGATGAAATTTATAATTTTGAAACAATAGAAACCCTTTTTTTTTAAATGGCTGAAAGTATTAAAAACTAGCTAGAAGCTAGGAACGAAACAAAGAAAATAACAATGAGTTCATGAATAGATTTTGCATCCATAGATTCCAATTCTTTTTGGCTTTGCGATTCCTATTACAAAACCAAATAAAAGATAAAGAGACAATTGAATCAAACAACATATCTCTTATATACTTCTCGTTCCCGAACACCAAATCATTTTTATACGTCCAAAGCATCCCAAATTAAAGTTAAGAAGACAATATCCATGGTCAATCTATGGTAATTGCCAACACCTTGTGCATTTATCCAATCGAAAAGATCATCCATATCAACAAAGGAAGGCAAAGTTTCATCCAACCAACACGCAAGCTTATGCCAAAGTTGTACTACCAAAGAGCATTTAAGAAACAAATGAACGCCATCCTCCTGCTCCTCATTACAACACGGGCACATCACCGACTCCACATCAATCCCTCTCTTAATCAAATTAAACATCATACTCCTCATACAAACATTAATTTTAATAGGAACACACTTATTCCATCTAGTAACACCACCATCTATAGGGTAAGGTTTAATGAAGTCTAATCCCTTTGACCATGAACTCATCATCCACCCCTATCGCCCAAGAGTCACTCCGGGTCGTGAATTGCATCGAATTGAGAGTCTCCATCAAAAGTTGATATTGCGATTGAAGAGCACCACCACGAAGAGGTATGTGCCAATCAATATGCCAAATATTATGAATCAAATAATCACTCACCATGAAACAATAGAAACCCCTAGCTCATAAAATGACAAAACTACAACACTACAAAGACTATTTTTACTATTTTGTACAGAAATAAATACAAAAACATGACATTATTGAATGACCAAGTATATCTCATATATCCATATTAGTTGAGTCCTTTTAAGTGGACAAAAACATGACCGGACCGGGTCCAAATCAGTCAAAACATGTACTTTTGCATCCAACTAAACAATTCTCACTCTTTTATCTTATGTTTGTTGTGTCAAAACTACATCTAAAGAGACACTTCTAAACTGTCAATACAATGTTCTTTAGCACGTAAACAACAAAATGGAAGTGAAACTTTTCATGTTAAACAACAAAATGGAAGTAAAACTTTTCATGTTAAATAAATTATCAATAATTTCATATAAACTCAAACAAAATACACATATACAAAACTTCATTACCCTATTTCTCAATCTCTAACGCAAGAAACCAACCTTCTAATATCTCAACAACATTCCTACTACTTTTTTTTCAACTTCTCATTTCCATGTGTACTTTCCATAAAAAAGGGACCAAATATACAACAAATACACTTTCCTTTTAATGAGAACAACAACCTTTTTGTTTACCATTATTATTATAATCACCAACATTTATGGTGGTCCCTTGGGTAGGAACTGCAGCGGCGGCTTCCTGAGCCGCCAGTGCTTTCCTACTAATTATCTGATAAATATCCAATAAAATCATTTGGAAGGCCTTTTCGACATTAAGAGCTTCTAATGCAGAAGTTTCTAGAAAGGAAAGGTTTTCCTTTTCTGCTAACCCTTGACCATCGGTTTCTTGTACGGCTCTTAGATGGTTCAAATCGGACTTGTTTCCGGCCAACATGATGACAATATTCGAGTCCGCATGGTCTCTTAGCTCACGAAGCCACCTTTGTACATTTTCAAAAGATTGTCTTTTTGTTATGTCGTACACCAAAAGGGCACCGACTGCTCCTCTATAATATGCACTTGTGATTGCTCGGTACCTTTCTTGACCCGCTGTGTCCCATATTTGTGCCTTCACGGTCTTCCCCTCGACCTACATTACAATGCTCAAACGAAATTATATGGTAATTCGATTGTTCCTTTTTTTACAAAAGGATAAAATGGTAATTTAGTCTCGTTCAGACGATTCATTCAAAAAAGAAACAAACTTTTTTCATTGGACGATCGTCATTTTATTTATCGATTCAATAACCAATATATATGGTTGTTTCTTTTTGTGTGTAAAAAGTCATTCGTTTAGTCAAAAGACAATTCATTTAGTCCAAATCCTTTATCCATATAGTACTTCACCAAGGAAAAATGAAACAAATCCTAAATATTATAAGATGGGAATTTTTTATAACTTAATAACGAAAGAGACTTTATTAAAAAAGTCAAGGAAATGATGTTTTTCCTATTAAATCCTAACTTTTTACAAACTTGTCTTTTTTACTTTTTCCTTCCATTTACACATGTTTGTGTGGCATTTATGCAAACTAACACCTTATCATGGAGAAAGATGACTTTCCATTGTAGCTTACAACCTCAAGTACTTTAAAGCAATATTCGTCATCTTTCACGTATTAAAGGCATAGATTTAATAGCATGATATGAAATGATTCCGATGATAAATATGCTATACATAGTGAAATGGAAAATATACAGGCAATTTTGTCCTACATAAATCATAGGGGAAATTTCATGGCTTGATATGAAATTAAGCTTTGTAGAAAGCGACAAACCTGAAGAGTTCTTGTAGCGAATTCGACACCAATGGTGGATTTTGACTCCAAACAGAATTCATTTCGGGTAAACCTAGAAAGTATATTGGATTTCCCGACACCCGAATCCCCAATTAACACGATCTTGAATAGGTAATCATACTCGTGATCAACCTTATATGCCATTATTTGTCTCTACACTTACCACAAACCTACACAATTGGGAAATATTGCATATTGGCATTCAATCACCCATTAAAAAAAAAAAAAAAAAGCCCAAATACGAAATGAATAGAAGGGCGTATGTTAGAATCAATTTTTGTACCTTCGAATCTATAGCATTCAATCGATTCGTTGGAAAAACCAAAAGGAGTGATGAAAAATTAAGAAACTAACCATGCAGAAAAGGTTGATGAAGAACAAGCCAGCAATGGAAGGGATTAGAGATGGCAGAAGTTGCACAGGATTGAAGAGAGAAATTCGAAATCCAATCGCGATAAACAGAAAACACGAATAAACAGGAAATTTAAACGGAACCAGAAAAACACGGAATTATTTCGAATTGGAAGTTTCAGTAAGACTCCCTCAATTTAGGCTTAATGTCATTAAAACCCTTAAATTTTTTAAGAAATGTTTGGTTTTACCTTTTGGTATCTTTTGTGTTCACTAAAGCTAGGTCTGACAATCGTTTCGTTTTCGGGTTGGTGGGTCACGGGTTGGCGGGTTGGCATGTCAAAATACACCAACCCGAATACGATCCATTTAACTATACATGTCACGGGTTTTGGGGTTTGCAACATAAACTCATATACGACCCGTCAACCCACTTATTTATACAGTTCATAGGTTGGGGGTTTGTGGGTTCGTAGGTCAAATTTGGGTTTGTGGGTCAGATTCCATAAATAAAATAGATAATAAAACATTTAATAAATTCTAGATGCAAATGAAAATTAATAACATTAATGGAAATATGTTCAAACTAATTCATCAATACAAACATAGATAAATTCAAGTGCTAATGTAATAGCTCCATTAATACAAACATAGATACAAACATTAATCATACATTCCTTCGAATAATACCTAATACATTTAAAAAATATATAATTTTTTTATTATTATTAAAATTCTAAACGGGTTGGCGCGTCAACCCGTATCTTTTTTTGACAAACCCATATATGATATGTTTAATAGACAGGTTGACGGTTTGACGGGTTAGAGGATTGACAGGTTGGAAAAACTCAACCCAAACCCGTTTATTTCGTGTCATGTAGCGGGTCGTGTCAAGAATTGTCAGGCCTAACTAAATCTGGAAGTTTGGGTAATTTTTTCATTTTTACCCTTTTAACAGGTTACCCGGTTACCAACAAGTGACCTGCACGTGACTTGAAAACTAAATGCAAAAAAAAATGAAAACTTAAAGACTTTTATGACATTAGCCCTGTTATTGTATCTTTATTGAAAACCCTTATTTGACAAACGGAAAATGACTTATTAAGGTAACTAACTATTTCGATTGTCCATATATAGGTAATGTTCTTTTTTATGTACTCATTAATGAAACCAACTTGTTTTGTATGTTCACATTTAGGTAATATGACCGGCTATCACCTGTTTTCACCTGTTTTACCCGGTTGCATCGATTTACCTCAGTTAAAGCGAAATATGTTGATTCTTACGTGGCCATTACACCCCTTTCTCATTTAATTAGGGTTTGAAAAGTTCAATTTCTCCAAAATCACCTCCCGATTAGAATCGATTCATCAAATTGAAGATTAGAGTTTGGAGTTGAAGCTACGTGTTGAAGTCGACTGTAAGATGGCGTCCTAACCATCTACAGGTAAAGTATTTAAGTGTAAATGTTCATTATAGTGGACTATTTTCCCCAAATCTGTTGAAATACTTAGACCCCGAAAAAATAACAGTGCGTGATGTCGATTTTGGAGGATTTACGTATAAAGAGTTTCTTTTGTGGCTTAGGAATTTAACCAAAGGAAGTTTTGATAATGTGTACTACTGTAGTAGAAAGGAAACCTTGGTTGGGGGTATTATAAGAATCAACAGTGATGCTGATTATTGGGAGTTTGTTGAAGATACTTATACTCCTGAAGCTGAGTTGGATGTCTACATTGACCACCAAAAAGAACCAATCCTTGACTGGGCTGACAATGAGGTGTTATCAGATGGTAACGGGTATGACTTGGATGACAACGAAGAAGATGATGACAAGGAAGAAGAAGGTGACAATGATGAAGATGATAACTTGGATGATAGTATGACATATGAACATGAAGTTGATGAAGAAGTCCATACCTTTAACAAAACTGTTGGTGACGATTTTTTAAACAAACTTTCAGGTATTGGTAAGCTTAATGATGATGATGAACCTAATGATGGAAAAAGATGATAAGGTTTGTATTCCCTGTTCATGATGAGAAACAAGAATGGGATAAGATGGTGCCAATTATAGGTATGAAGTTTGCTAACCCAATGCAATTGAATCTATGTCTAACCAATTATGCAGTGAAGAATGGGTATGATTTATGGTATGAAAAAAGTGATCATAACCGGTTACTAGTGAAATGTTGTAAAGGTAAGAAGAATAAGAAGAATAAAGGTTGTCCCTTTAGGCTGTGGGCAACCTGGATGACCAATGAAAGGTCATTCTAGATTAAATCTTTAATTGATAACCATAATTGCTCAAGAGTCTTCAAATTTGGGCCCATTGTTAGCTATAAATGGATAGGGAATCATTTCATGAATCAGATACTCTAGAAACCAAAGATGAGTGTGAAACATCCCAAAAATACGGTCCAAAAATTTCGTTTTAATTTATAAATAAAACCATAGTAATCCAAATCATCTCATAAACATAAGTGAAAATATCTCAAAACATCATATCAATCACTGTATCAAAATCATATATCCAAATATCATAGTAAATCATCCCAGTCTAAACATTGTGGTGTGTGCGATGCAGTCATCCTGAGCTCTTCCCCTTACTAGCGGAAGTACCTGAAACCAAAACTGAAAACTATAAGCACGAAGCTTAGTAAGTCTCCCCAAGCTACAACATACCATACACATAATCACATAATAAAATACATTGGGCCTTGCCCACTACATCGGGCCCCGCCCGGTATTGGACGAATCCGGCATCGGGCCCCGCCCGATATCGGACCGAACTCCGGTATACATATAACATATCAACAAAGCATATAACATAAACACATAGCATAACCATATAAACATTCCTCGGGATTTCCCCTGCATCGGACCGAAGATCGGAACACATAACATATAAGCTAAACATTCCTCGGGCTTGCCCTGGCATCGGACCAAAGCCCGGAACATATAAACATACACATGCAAGAATCACGAAGACATCAAGCATACAAACATTCCTCGGGCTTTCCTCGGCATCAGACCGAAGTTCGGAACATATAAACTACATCGGGCTAACCCCGGCATCGGACCTAAGTCGGGCATACGCTATCATACATAAACGGGCCGGCATTGGTGCCTTCGACCCATTCCTACTGGAGGAAAAACTCACCTCATAAGCTAACTGTGAAATCTCGCGTGAGGAATCTCTGACGGCTGCTCCACCGACTCCCCGAATATCATTATCACAATAACACTTAGTCAAAATCTGATAATCCTTCTTAGGGTAAAATGACCATTTTACCCCTAGTCAAGGTCAACATTCTTGTGACATCCCCAATTTCACGGTTAGAAAAGACCGATTTGTTTATGCTTTATTTGAAAATCAGAGTATATTTTCAAATAAATATATTGCAGAATTTATTCCCAGAAAAACATGATAAATATATTATCAAAGCATTTCCAAAGAAATGTATTTTGTTCATATTAAAACTTTGGGATGTCATCGTCAATACTGAAACATAAGCATAAACAGACCTTACATTTATTTACACTGGTGATCTACATCTCCTTTAAATCTCTCTCAATGTAAAGTAGCTTCGTATCGACACCTGTGATACAAATAAACTGAGTGGGTCAGGTTGGGAAACCTGGTGAGTACATAGGGTTTTCAACCCACAATAATAAAGTTATTATGTTTTATCATCAATCAATGAACCCAATTACCCATCCTCATTATCTTCTTCATTTCTTAAGGATCTACCCTAAGAATTATCTACCACTCATTCCTAAGGAATTTTTCCTAAGGAATAGGCACGAAGTCCATCGCTTCCCGAGGTTTATACTACAAGCACTAACGAACGTCGATCCCCACATACTGATCCTATACAGTGATCTTACAAGATATAACCTAAAGGATCAATATGAACAACCAACTGACGAAGTTGCTTCGAAAATTCCCTAGCAGCAAACGAGGATCGATAAAGAAAGGGGAAATGAAATAAGTTTCACCACGAACCTTCGTTCATAAAAGAAATAACCACAAGACAATTAAGTTAGGGGTAGTTATCTAGATAACAATGCCTAGCCGTGGTCCGAATATCGTGAGGTATTTTACCCCCAGAATCACCCTATCCAGCATCGAACTTTGCCTAGCAGTGATCTGAATATCGTGAGGTATTTTACCCCCAGACTCACCCTATCCGGCAATATAACACCAGACATACCTAGTAGTGGTCTATTACCGACACACTTTCTTAGGCAGTCTACGAAGTTCCCTCAATTACTTTGTGAAAGGAAATGCTGACACATGAAGCTAATCCGATCACTTCATAAAAGTAACGAAGACTCCAAAGCTCTTCAAAATAAAAAGTATAGGGAAAATACTAATAAAGTACTCCCGTACGCTTCCGTACCCCGACACGTAATAGTGTCAAAAAGAAGAACTATCGGATGAACACATAGTTCAAAAACATCTAATGAACATATAGTTCAATAATACCTACAGGTTACGAATCTGTTAACGTTCCACTGGACTATCTAGAATAGTCTGTGGTCGTTTTCTATACTCTGCTAGATGATTAAATCATCTTAGACATCGATACCTCTCATCAATTTTTATTTCATCACACATCATGTAATTCATCTGCCCACGTTTTACCCAACATATTTGTAGATAAAAATACATATACAGTTTAAAACTTGTATAAAACATCTATTCAATAGTCATCTCAAATAAACAATTAATATAATTACACATAGCACGTATTTTATAGAAAATACTTCATATCTAGGTGTAAGATGAAAGTGACTACACACTCACTTGATTTATTGATAATCGGGCAGCACTTCGTTTCCTAAAACAATCGTTTCTAATAAAACCGGGAGTTTTATTGAGAAACCGGGCTCTGCGAGGGTTGGGCTTCAAAACCGAAAAGATAAATTTCTCGGGCTTCTCGGGTACTTCGGGACGTATTTCGGGTCTTTGGTATGATACCGGGGCTTTGCGAGAAGTGGAAATAGCTAAAATATGAAATTAGGAGTGAAAAATGGCAAATTTCCAAAGTTACCCAGGAGGTCTCGCACCCTTCTATTTATAGGGGCGAGCTTCGGACCGAGGGGGCAGGTGGCAGCAACAGCGAAGGGCAGGTGGCTCCAGGCGGCTCGTAGGCGAGGCTCCAGGTGGTTCGTGTGAGGCTCAGACAAGCGAAGGGGCATGCGTCGGACACCTATTGGACCTGCGCTTCGGATGCGAGGGTTGCTACACACGGGTCGGACAGCTGGCTTCGGACGCGCCACGAGTCGGACACGGGGCAGCTTCTGATTGGCCGAGCCTTCGGTGCGAGGATGGTGCGACACGCCTCGCCAGCTGGCCTCGGATGACTCAGCAATTCGGACACGTGGTACGCTACGAGCGAGGGTGACGTGGCCTATTCCGGACCATGCGAAATTTCTCGGATTTCGTGTTTTTCTCGATTTTTGAGCCAAAACTTCTAAAATCCATAACTTTCGCATACGGGCTCCGTTTTGACGTTCTTTATATGCACGTGTAGGTAAAATTACGCTCTACAACTTTCATTTAGACTTCGTTGGCTAATTTTGATTTTAATTTTAATATTATTATTTTTAACAGACCGGGACAGGAAATCCGTTAAAAATTCATAACTTCTTCATCCGACGTCTGTTTTCGTCTGTCTTTTTACCGTTGTACTACTATTGACGAGACCTTCGATTCTTGTTTAGGTTGTGTCGGCTAAAAATCACTCGATCTAAAATTCGAGTTTTTAGCTGTCTACCGCTAAGCTGAAACTTAGAAAAATCATAACTTCCTCATACGAAGTCAGATTTGGGCGTTCTTTTTATGCATAATCTCGGTTTAACGAACACTACGACTTTCATTTAGATCACCAAGGCTAAAAAGTAGTTTATCAAAAACTCACTTTTTACGTCATTCGGCGTCGTGCCGGTTTTGTCGCGAAACTTCGACAGGTCATAACTTCTTCGTTATAACTCGGATTTCGGTATTCTTTATATATCCGGAATCCTTGTCACGACCACTACAACTTTCTTAATAGATATCGGCTTTATCTAATATTTATTTTCGACGCTCATTTTTATTCTTAATTAATTAAATCCTAATAATTAAGCATAAAACACATAATTCACATAATAATCACATAATTCCTCTTCATTTCTTCAAAATGAGTTACAAAGGTTGACCTAGACTATTTCATCATCATTAATGCCTATCCTGGAAACACGGGCGTTACAATTCTGGTCAAAGTCAATGTTCTGGGTTAACTCAACTCGCCGAGTTCTATGCATCAAAAATCTTGAAATTGCGATCCAACTCGTCAAGTCATCCCCTGACTCACCGAGTTCCCTGGCTACTCATAGTCGCGATTTGGCGAGTCAACTCGTCGAGTCCATTTGCATACTCGTCGAGTTCTTCCTTGTACAAAATTGGGACAAAACGACACAACTCGTCGAGTCCCTCTCTGGACTCGCCGAGTTCCTCAGTATGTTTGGGCCATCTTAAAGGATTAATCCCCTACTTTTCAGATCTAAGCTCCATACTTCATCTACATACTGGAAATGCCCTTTTAAAGGTAAAGTTTCCAACTTTACCCGTTAATAGTCCTTCTTAATGGGTGTAACTCAAACCCTAGTTCTTTAAGACTTAGATCTTGGTCCAAAAGCCATAATACTCCAAACCAAAGCATGAAAACTGAGATCTAGGTCCTAGATACCAAATGAACACATAAAGTCTCTGACTTTCCCTCCATGCATGGCCTTTTGGGGCTTAAAAGGCCAAAATAACACCTTAAAGCTTGCATGGGGATTCCATGGTCATAAAGTTTGCACCTTTATGACATGAAACCCCTTCTAAACCCCAGATCTCAAAGGTAAATCACTTGGGACGTCCATTTCCCAAGGACTAAGCTACTTGGACCAAAAATTCAACAAAAGTAGGGATGAAGAGATCTAACCACACAATGGACAAGTTAGGAGCATTTTACCTCT